CCCCCCCCCCCTCACTCAATTTTACACACATTGGATAAATAAATTCAGTTTTAGATTGTGCAGTAGATTTCTGTATTTGATTTGCAACAAGTGGGTTAAAATTATCATTTACGTAATTCATCAGTTTTTAATTTCACGCTCGCAATCCATTGCATGAATGTAATTCGGTTGTATTCGAGTGATTAATTACCATTTCTCTATAATTAAATATAATGGTCAATTATTGTTTTTGAGGTAATGAACTTAAGCTCCAGTTTGTATTGAATTGCACTTGTGTAATTGAAAATAAATCTTGGAGATCGATATCATTTGACATAAATTAGAAATTATTCAGGAGCTGTTCAATTCTAGGCATTTTTTTATTATTTTTCTTATGAGACACATTGCACCTCCTTTGAATATTTATGTAGAATATTCTGGTCAATTTTCATAACTGATCAAGGGTTTTTTCCGTTTTATTTTATTGATTAATTGAGATGTTTATTTTTAATTTTCATCTTTATTGATTAATTGAGATGTTTATTTTTAATTTTCATCTAAAAAATTTTTATTTGTCAATGTTTTTTGTTGCATTTTTTTGGTATGCTTCAAATGCACTTTTGGGAAATAATATGCAAAATAAAATGGGATTAACTATGGAATTTTTGTTTTTAAATTTGATTTATTTTTCGGAGGTTAGTTCTTAAAGTATAATCCCTGAATTTTTGACATCTCAGAGTTGCAAATTATGCTATTTATATTTATATTTATATTTATATTTATATTTATATTTATATTTACTGAATTCGAATAGTTTATCTCGCAGGGTTTCGTTAATTTTTAAATCATTTACAGGCGACTGTAAGCGTAATTTCAAGTGAACCTCCATGCCAAGATGACAGTGCCCGATTTACAACCATGTACCATTAAAAGAAAAACTGAGAAATTCACAGAAATGAACACTTTGTAAATATGATATTACTTTCTTTGCATGGGGCTCCTTAAAATTACACCTACAGTCCCTTTAATCAACTATTTTCAGATCATTAGGAGTTCATCTCACATTTATAAGATCTACAAATCTTGATACCAACTGGACATGGCAGCAGCTCAGGCAGATGCAGGTTTATTGATTAATATCTCAATTAAATGCAATAGTAAAATTAGCCACATTAAAACGGCCCGAGTTGGCTTTCCTTTTCAAAATTAGAATTGTTAAGATAAGAATCACTAATTGAATGAATACTTTCTTTCTTTATTTTTAAAATGGTACAAGCTTTAAGACATCACTTCTTTCTTGAACTAGTAAATTCATGAGGGGTGGATAGTAGGACTCCCTGAAAGCCTGATATGATTTGATTTGATTTGATTTGATTTGATTTGATTTGATTTTATTTGATTTGATTTGCTGCGTGTTAAAGAATACAAATAATACTAACATGGTGAACAATTAGAAAGAAGATTGTTATCGCTGAAAGATGATCCTGGGGGCCAGAATAATAGTCTATTTATCAGTAAATTATGTCAAATTAACTTTAAATTGTTTATTTCAGTACTTTTTGCTTTTTGTATAATAATGCTATAAATTTATGTTCCTTGCATTGAACTCTCCAACATGAAAAAACAATTTGTTAGATCTTAGAATGAGTAGAAGTGTTAAAATTTTAAAGGTTTAAAATCTTAGAATATTTGTTGACAAGTTTTTTTGTTACACCCCCCACGCATTTTCAATGAATAATTTTACTGTGTAGTGTGTATCGAATATTTTTTGTAAGCGTTTCTAGCATTTTGGTCAAGGCTAATTACCAAATTGACAAATAATTTTTTTATATTAATTAATGTTCTTATTCAACTTCTAAAAATTCTGAACTGAAAATGGCTTATCCTGAGTGCATGGCGTTTAACTTTAATAATTTTAATTCATGTTTGCGTAAAATGCATTTGTTTAGTTCTCAAGATTCGTTATTTTTACGCATGGGTTCTTAACTACTATTTCAAGTTTAAACTTCATTCCTTGATTTACGTAATTTTAATAAGAGTTATTTCATATTATTACATACATATGCAGGTCAACATAATACAGTTGTTGAGCAATGATTATTTTTAGGCTACCTGAAACTTTAACTATAAACTTAGAAACTTTTTTTTTCAATTAAAATAAAATTGTTTTAAAATTCTGGTTGATTGACTGAATAATAATTATTTTGATGCAAGTATTTCTCATCTGTATCTCAAAAACATTCATGCTACGCTGAATGAAAATAATCTTTAAGGTTTCCATTAAAAGTAAGTTTTGTAGTTGGGAGACATCTTTTTTAAGTTAATATTGTTTTTTTTTCAGGTCGGTGGAAATGCTAAAGCATTGACTTATTTCCGTTCTCAGAACTGTACTACTAAAGATACGCAGGTGCGATTACAGCTTTGTATTTCACTCTTTTTTATCTTTTTTATTATTCGTCAGCTGTCTTTAATATTTCCTTTAACTTTTTCATGTTGCTGAAAGTAAAATGATAATGATGATAATGAGGATGATGATAATGATGATGANTATGCAGTGCCTTTAATGATATTATTTTGAAGACGGAAGCCTGCCCCGGCAGCTAGCTCCGCATCCTATAGTAGCGAGGATGCTGTCAAGAAATTCGGAAATGCTAAATCTATCTCTTCAGATATGTACTTTGATGATAACCTTCATTTTTCTTACGATATGTATTCCACGGATTATATTTCTTATTTTCCTTTATTTTAGAGCAAATTCTAAATAGACTAAAACTTTTAAGAATATTTTTATTATTGATATTATGATAGTTATGGCCATATAAAGAGGATGAAGAAAATGAGGAAATACAGACCTTGGATGAAACCATGGTATCGGTTGTGAATAATAATACCATATTTAGGGTGTTTCAAATATTACTCCACCAAAAGGGTGTTCCTATTCGCAAGGTTTATAACTTGGAGGACCAGAACAGATATTTGAGTTATTTCGTTATTTTGTAAATTATCAAAATTTTGACAAAATTTGTTTTTGAATTCTGTTTAAAAAAAATGGACTAGATTGCGCCAAAAAAAATTTGAGGGGGAATGTCTCCTAATCTTCCAGGGAGGGGCATGAGTTACTTAAATTTTCCAGATGGACGTCCCCTAATCCCCCCTACCCCTTACGCTACCTCTGGCGAGGACACTCCTTAAAAAAATGCGGAGAACTCATCGGTCGATGTCTTGTGGCGACCTTATGATGCTTAGAATAATTTGGAAGATATATTTGAAACATTCGAACCTCATCCCGTTGTTTAAAACTAGCACCCTGAGTGATTTGGTTTTTTAACACTTCTTTATCAATTTTTAAAAATGTTTTTTTTTGTGTTTTTCTTTTGCACAATATTCCTAACACTGTTTTTTTGTCTAGACTAGATTTCAGAGAAGTTTTTGTTGATACATCTGTTTTATGCATTTAATTATTTCTAGAGAAAAGAGTGAATTTTTTTGTTATACGTTTTTTATCTTGTACAGCATAATATTTTTAGCTGCATATTGATTCTGGAGTCGAAGCTGAGACTGAAACTGCGCCTAAAGAAGACGACTTTTTCGACACACATGAACAATTCTCGACAGATCAGAATCTAGGAGTCGAAATTCCTGTCGCTAAGCCGATTCCACCCAAACAGAAGACAGAGGTATTTTTTTAAATCCCGTAAAAATAATAAGAAAAAAACGGAGGAAAATTTTCGATTTTTTAAAAACAGTAAATCTTTCGTGATAGCATTTTTGGTTCAACTGAGAAGCCTGTTTTTGGCAAAACTATTACTGTGCAATTGTGTTATTACTGAAGAAAAAAGCTAAAAAAAACCTTGAAATTAGTTCTGAAATTTTTTAAGAGATTCATAATTTCAATAAAATGTCAGTATCTAAAAAGAATCATAGCATTTTTTTGACAAAATCAATATGTAAATGTTTGCTTCAAAAATTAGCGGGAAACATTTGTTTTTGAGTATAATATCCTTATTGATAAATTTAAAACTTTAAAACTTTTAATATTTTCTGCCAACATGATTATCTAACTAAATGTTGAATAGTTTTTTTTAAATTAATATTTTTTGCTGATTTAAATAAAGCAAATGCTTTTTTTGGGGATTGAAGGAGCTGATAGCTTAATTTCAAGTAACCCTCCATGCAAAGATGGCAATGCTTTTTCTGATCAAGTGTGAATTATATTGATAATTATTTTCATTATTATTTTCAATTGAAAGTTCTCTATAAAAGCGACTCGTGCAGTTCTACTACAGGAAAAAAATAAAGGAATTATCGGTATTAAATACTTTTTAACTGGTAAAAAAACCGAAAATATCTTTCACATTATTGATGAGATTAAGGTCTCGTTCTTAATCATGCATTGAGGATGTCAACCTGGGGTATACGGTCAACTCAGGTTCCCGGAAACCCTTCACCCGGGTTCGCCTGCATACAGGAATCATTAATAAGACAAACCCTGGGCGGCTTTAACAGGGAACCCCAGGCGTGTGAATAATGCGTATTGCAAGTACTGATGGGTGAAGTCAACTTTTGGCCAGAACACCCCGAGCAATTCATTTTTATTAATTAATTAATCTTCGCATGAAGGGTCACTTGAAATTACGCTTACAGTCCCTTTAAAATAGAGAAAAACACTTTTAATTTTGCGCTTCTAGTATTCAAAAATCATTTCTAAAGTATAAACACTTCAGATAATTGATGATGGTTGTGCACCGAATGTAGATTTAGCTCTATCTACCTCCCCTCCTACCGCGGCTAAACCTGTTCCCGTCAAGAAATCTACGATCGGGTCCAAGAAACCTGCCGGGAAGAAGGGTGGGATGGGGGCTAAGAAGGGACTAGGAGCCCAGAAGGTTGGAAGGGATTTTGCTGCTATAGAGAAGGAGGCCGAAATGGCGGATCAGATTGTCTCATCCAGGATGGATATGGCCAAGGTAGAAGAATCCAGGGGAATATATTATCTTTGAAAATATCCCTTCGCCCCCCTCTCTAAAAAAATCATTTTTTTTCATGTATGTCAATGTTCCTGAGAATTTAGGGTTTCAGTTGCTTAATAGGAGAAATAAATTATTTTTAGTAAAAATGCCAAAATGAAAGTCATTTTTCCCTCAATTTTTCTTACGATATGTATTCAACGGATAATATTTCTTATTTTCCTTTATTTTAGAGCAAATTCTAAATAGACTAAAACTTTTAAGAATATTTATCAGAACGTAAAATTGTTTGTTAACAGATTTCTTTGAAGTATTTTACACGCTTGTTAATTTCCGCTAAGCGAGCTTAAGCTTAGATCTTTTACTAAATCACTTGTTTATATCCTCTCAGTCCTTTGTCGAACATGAAAATCATAAATGGGAATTAACTTATTTTTAATGAAAACAAAATAAAGTGCTTGGCTTTTAAAATCTCAGAATTATTGTGCGGCAGACGATTTCTGCGTATTAATGTCATGGGTAATCGGAAAAAAAGCAGCTAATTTAATTTTATGTTAAGAAAAAATGTAATTGGGTTTAATATTTTATCTCGCTTGAATTGGGCTGATGTATATTACGACGCTAATTTTTACTATTTATACTATTACAACTAATCTAGCTGTTTGTTTGTATCCCATAACATTTTAAACAGCTTAACTGATCGGAGTCAAGGATGTTTTTTATAAATCGACCATCAAAATAAAAAATGTAACCCGGAAAAATGTCAACATCAATTATTTTAGAAAATGGGCCAATTTAAACACCAAATATTTGATAAAATTTGATTATGATAAAGACTGCAACTTTCAGGGCACCGGTTAAAAGCGAAGAAAATTGATATTAAAGGAGCCTAGGTATTATATTGTTGAATTATATAATTGTTTAAGGCTGAGCCAGCACTAAACCCAGAAGAGGAAGCCAAAGCTATGGCAAATATGAGATTAGCATATCAGGTTAAAAACTTAAATTTTAAAGGATTTTTTGACATATTTGTAAATTAAAGGGATTGTTTACATATTTAAACATTTAAATGGATATATGTTATAAAAATAAAAATATGTAAAAATAAAGTTTTCGATTAAAGAATTCTGCTTGGGCTAATTTTTTGAACCGAAACGAAGTTTTTATTTAATAGATGATTTGCAGACAATTTGATAATTTTAAGTTTAACATTTGTATGTGTATTCTGATAAAAAAGCGAAATTTTATTATTTCTTGTAGGATATGTCTGTGCAAGCTAGGAAGGAAGAGGAGAGACTCAAACGTGTTGATCCAACCAAGGCTGCCCAAGTTGAACGCTTAGGAATGGGATTTGGAGGTAAGTGAGGGACATCAGTCATTTTTAAAGAATTTAGTAGGTTGATGTTTTTACCACCTCATTGATTTATTGATATAATGGGACTAGCGTAGCTAAGTGACACTCCATGTAAAGATGGAAATGCCAGGTTTACAATGGTATCCTTAACAACTGTGTCTGTTCAAGTGTGAATAAGATATCAATGTTTATAATTTTGAAAGCTGATAAGTTTTAATTATGGTTTCTCTAATGCCGCATTTCTACTGCTGGAAAACATGTAGGAATTGTCAGAATTAAGCCATTTTGTATTTTGAAAATTGACGATATCTTCCATATAACATTGATCAGATAAAAGTTTTAAAGTTACTGTTGTGAATCGGGCATTGCCATCTTTGCATGAAAGATCATTTGAAACTACGCTCACAGTCCCTTTAACTAAAAATTAGAATTATTGGCTAAATTAATAGTTGATTAATTGATTAATATAATTATTTATTGTTAGATCAATATCTTATGATTAATTTATCTAAAGTTTATTAATTTTTTTATTTTGTTTGGTTTGGTTGATATGATTTATGATATGTTGACAGATATATTTTAAATTAACTGGTACTTTTTTTAATATAAATTTCTATTTTTAATTTATTTTAGGGTTCGGAGGTGGTGGTGTGTCTCACAATATGTTAACTGAGATGTCTGAGATCCAGCAGGAGGAGCCGAGCAGTAGCCTCGTCAACAGCGCCTTCTCTGCCTCCACCAAGGAGAAATTCTTCGATGACTTCGAAGTTGTGGATGTAGATAAGGTAGGATTTACCGGGGGGAGGCAGAACTAGTTTCCTCTTTTTTATATTACTCCAAATCTAATTAATTAAAATATAGGAAGTTTACCCCCCTGGTGCACATCTCGCGTGGACATTTGTGCGCACCAGCTAATTTAACCAAATTTAGGATGATTTCCGCCCTGGCGCACATCCCACGTAGGTGCTTTGTGCGCAGCAACTTATTAAACCAAATTTAGGATGATTTACCCTCCCTGGTGCACATCCTGCCGCGTAGATGATTTGTGCGCACCAGCTAATTTAACCAAATTTAGGATGATTTACCGCCCTGGCGCACATCCCACGTAGGTGCTTTGTGCGTTCCAGCTAATTTAACCAAATTTAGGATGATTTCCGCCCTGGCGCACATCCCACGTAGGTGCTTTGTGCGCACCAACTTATTTAACCAAATTTAGGATGATTTACCCTCCCTGGTGCACATCCTGCCGCGTAGATGATTTGTGCGCACCAGCTAATTTAACCAAATTTAGGATGATTTACCGCCCTGGCGCACATCCCGCGTAGATGATTTGTGCGCACCATCTAACGGTAAAAAGAGCAGCAGCGCCTGGGAGAACGATCTTAACGAGAACGTGAAGAAGAGCAACTACAACAATTCTAACAATTGGGATACAGATTTCCAAGAGAAGTAGGTCTTTTTTATTGATGGGAAGCTTTATTTGTTCTAAAATACAGTCGTCGTCGTCAGTATTAATACAATAAAGACGACTTTCTATTTGCCACAAAATTCCGGTAAAAATTTATTTAATTTCCAACTTTTTCACAGCAGTATCATTTAAACCTTTATAGATCAAAAATTCAATAATTTGAAAGATATCAGAGATTTTTTTTGAGAATCACAGTTGAAATCAGACTTGATCAGACAAAGCTTTTAAAATTAAATATACCTTTGTGAATCAAATATGTCACTCTGCATTGGGTAGTCATGTTAAAATACGTATGCAGTGCCTTTAATGATATTATTTTGAAGACGGAAGCCTGCCCCGGCAGCTAGCTCCGCATCCTATAGTAGCGAGGATGCTGTCAAGAAATTCGGAAATGCTAAATCTATCTCTTCAGATATGTACTTTGATGATAAGGGATCGGTGAGTTAGAATAAATTATCATATTTTTTGCTGGGTTTCATCAACTCAGGTATGAATTTATGTGGTATCTCAGACCTACCCTTTCATCATATTTTTCAAGGGGGTATATTTTCTTGAAAAATAATTTCTCCCTCCCCTTTAAAAATCTTTTTTTTTCATAACAGGCAAAAAAAAAAAATCAAAATTCGAAAAAAACATTAAAATTTTTATTTTTTCCCCTCAAATTCTATGGGTAACGCCGGGCAAACGGCTGGACCGATTGGGCTGAATTTTTTGTAGACACTCATAGGTGGTGTTTTAGGCTGAAAAAGTTAGACATTTTTTCAAATTTTTTTCCAAGGGCAAAGCCTGGCCTTTCAGCCACTTTTTATTATGATTATAATTATTATTGTTATTATCAGAATGACCGGGACGCTAATCTGTCCAGGTTCCAGGGTTCTACATCAATCAGCTCAGACATGTATTTCAACAGGTGACATATTTAAATTGAAAAAGGGAGGGTAAATTTAACAATCAAAAGGGATTTCTACTCAATTTTAGAGGATTAAAGGGATTATTAGCCATTTTAACGGTTTTAAGGGGTACCTAATAAACTTCTAAAGGACTTTAAGGGAGTATTAGTCACATTTAAGGTTTTAAAGGGGTTAATCAGGTATTTTTAAAGGTTCTAAGGGAATTATTATTTAATTTAAAGGCATTTCAATGGATTATTATTATTTTATATTAACGTTTCAAATGGTTTATTAGTTAATTTTGAAGGACTTATTAGTTGATTTAAGGGAATTAAAGGGATTATTAGTTGCTTTTAATGGATTTAAAAAGATTATTAGTTGATTTTAAGGGATTAGTAGGTGACTTAAGGGAATTAAAGGGATTGTTGGTTGATTTCAAGGGATTATTAGTTGATTTTAAGGAATTATTGATTTCATGGGATTTCAATGGATGATTATTGCAGGGATGCCCCTGCCGGAGGAATGAATAGGTCTGCCTCTAACTACAGCAACTATAGTAACAATATGCAGGCACCAGACCTTGATGAGGTCAAGGAGAGTGTCAAACAGGTAAATTAAAGGGAATATACACAAAATTCAAGTTGATAAATGAACTGCTCTAAGGGGCTGTAAGCGCAATTTCAAGTGACCTTCCACTTACAAAGAGGCATGTCTGATTCACAACGGTACCCTTTAAACCTTTGTTCGAACAACGATGAGGTAAAAACCCTCATTTGTATAGCTGAAGATTGAGTCCCGGGAGGCTTTAGGTTACAGTGTACACTGTCCTCTCCGTGCTGGTGTACACTCGCGGGGTTTCTTGGCACTTAATATCCCACTATATAATTACGAATATCTACGAAAAGTGTCCTTCCATATATAAAGGGGCGTGCCCGATTCACAACGTTACCCTTCAAACCTTTGTCCAAACAACGATGAGGTAAAAACCCTCATTTGTATAGCTGAAGATTGAGTCCCGGGAGGCTTGAGGTTACAGTGTACACTGTCCTCTCCGTGCTGGTGTACACTCGCGGGGTTTCTTGGCACTTAATATCCCACTATATAATTACGAATATCTACGAAATCCTTGATTAAACAAAGGTATAAATGGTATCGTTGTACCTCGGACATGCCACTCTAAAATGAAATTTGAGATTTCTGAAAGGAATTGTAATCAACTGTTGGAAAAATAAAGAGATTCTGAACTTAAATTGAGATTTATGAAAGGAGCTGTAAACAATTGTTGGAAAAATATAGAGACTCGTCAATTTTAGTAACCATTCACACAAAAATGACTATAACCAACTATACATTTGAAACCTTTATATCTGATCAATAATCTGAAGTATATCGTCGTTTCTCTCTGTTTAACATCTGATCAATAATCTGGAGGATATCGTCGTTTCTCTCTGTTAAAAATCTGATCAATAATCTGGAGGATATCGTCGTTTCTCTCTGTTTAAAATCTGATCAATAATCTGGAAGATATCGTCGTTTCTCTCTGTTTAACATCTGATCAATAACCTGCAGGATATATCGTCGTTTCTCTCTGTTTAACATCTGATCAATAATCTGGAGGATATCGTCGTTTCGCTCTGTTTAAAATCTGATCAATAATCTGAAGGATATCGTCGTTTCTCTATGTTTTAAATCTGATCAATAATCTGCAGGATATCGTCGTTTCTCTCTGCTTAGAATCGGATCAATAACCTGGAGGATTTCGTCGTTTCTCTCTGTTTAAAATCTGATCAATAATCCCTTTAAGTTTGATGCAATTAGGTTTTTAAAGGGATATTTAACAAATTTATTATTCAGGGAGTGAGCAAGGTCGCGGGACGTCTTTCTAACATGGCATCCGGTGTTATGAACCAGATACAGGTAAATGTAAAACTTGAAGAATTTAAACCGGTTCCAAATAAACGTCGGCTCAAATCTTGAAACACAAAATACAACTTCAAGTGAAACCAACCATGTTTGAGCCGCGTCTAAACTTTGAGACGCGGCTCAAATTCTTTAAATTCGGCCGCAGTTTTTTAATACTTAAAGCATTTTATCACCTACGACTGGATTTACTAATTATTTTTAGATCCATAAAATAAAATACTGGAAATATCTTTTCGTAAAACTCTTGAATAGGAAGGCGGCTTTAAAACTCAAGTTATGATTATGTATAGTCCAATGTGCATGATACATAGGAATTGTATAGACATTCCCATTTCACTTCATAAGTGATTTTAGGGTTAAAACTATTTATTTGGATTTACATCTTAAACACTTAAAATTTGCTTTAATATCGTCTTCTTATTCCACAAGTCGTGTTCCTCTTTGTAAGAAAATTCGGGGAACCTGGTATTAATTCTATTGTTTTCAATGGTAGAGTTCTATAAAATCATTAGACCTAAGACAATTTTATTTTTGTTATCGTCATTTCTTACATCAATTTTAATTTATTTTTATTAGCGTGCGAAAAATATTAACATGACGGTGCCATGAGGTAAAAGGTTGATAATTGCAGTGTTTTTACAGTGTTAAGGATCCATTTTGATATTGATCCGTCTTTTGATTCCGGATTCATGACAAAACGGAGCCGAAATATTTCGGAAAAATGTTTTTGTACGTTTTTGCCTTTTTTAACGTTCGGTTCTGGATCCTTAGCACGTTGTTTTTCTTCATCATACTTTTTCTTACGTTAATTTGAACATTTTCTGGGGCACAATAATTGGAATTTCGCACACAAACAAACAACACAATCAAGTCATTGTATTGGAAAGGAATTTATCATCGATGATACTTAAAATTTTAGTTTTTAGTTTTTATAATTTTGTAAATATTTGGGACTCCTTGTGTCGTTTTGAAAATGATTTTACAATTTGGGGAAAATTTAATTTTTGTCAAACGGTGTTTTCCTCTCTAATAAAAAGGCCCAAAACTTAAGTGGGCTCATTGCACATCGTGTTATTTGTTCACTGGGATTTATTTGCTCGCACGTTTTATCAAATAATTGGCTGTTATTGTTGTTTTTATTTTTCATTAATTTTTATATCTAGGATCGATATGGGTATTAGAGGAACCTATTGGAGGAATTGTGATACCACTTTTTTTGTTACAGAACTTCTCTCATATTAATTTATTTTATAAAATCAGCTGTATTTCCAGTTTCGTAAAATATGTATCGATTGCCAAAAAAAAATATTTCTGAAGATTATTCCATATTTATCAATCACAATTAATTTATTTATTTTTATTATGTAGTGCACATTTAAAGGTTCATAGTGTAATGTATTAGCGTCTCAGGAACTGGTTTTATTGTAAACAATAACAGATTATGAAAAACTACCTATTTAAGGATTAAGAGATTTTCTAAAATTAGTTTGTATTTAAAGCAAAGATCAAGTCTTAAAATTAGAATTTATGTTGGCTCCTTAAGTTCAGTGAAAAGGATCAATTTCATTTTGATGCGGATCTGGATCTGGATCATGAATATTTCTTAAAGTTTTACTGGTTTCTTGAACAAATGAAAAAATTAATTTTTTATGCTGAAACTAACTTAAGCAATAATTCATTTGTTTTACAGATGAGATTTGTATTTTGAGAGCAAAAAGTTTTGCCCCTTGGATCCGGATCTGTAGAGTCGCATATTTTGCGGAGCAGGGTCCGGGAAGCAAAAACGCTACGGATCCAACCTTTTTTCTATTTTTTATCCTTGTTTGTATAATTAAACTAGTTCCTTTGCTGTTCTTATACGCGTAACTTTTTTACCATCATCATCTTCGCCAATTGGTTGTATTTTTGTTTTAAAGAAATTGGAGTTGGTTGTTCGGGGATTTTATATAGTTTTTGGCTTGAAATTTAGATTTACATATATCAATTACATATTGTTTTTTTTTACAATTTTGTAATGCGTAAACGAAAAAAAATCTGTTTTTGTCATTTTAAAAAAGGAAACGAATTTTGGTATGAATCTAGAAAAAAAAACATCGTTCACTTTTCTTTCGAATTTTTAAAATAAATTCTGTTTTATTTTTTATTTTATGAAAACGACATTTTATATAATATGTATTTGTTTTCTACCGCAGGTTCATTGTATTTATTATTAGCAATGGTTTTCAGTTTTCAAAGCTTTATGTTTTTTTATTTATTTCAAATAAATTTTATTTTAACAGCGATTTTTGATGGGCAGTACAGTGAGTGTAACATTTTGGTTGATCAATATGTATTAGCACATGTTTTATACACAGGGTGTCTTACATCATATTTACAGGTTGTCATAAATTATATTTACAGGTTGTCATACATTATATTTACAGGGTGTCTTACATCATATTTACAGGATGTCATACATTATATTTACAGGTTGTCGTACATTATATTTACAGGGTGTCTTACATCATATTTACAGGATGTCATACATCATATTACAGGATGTCATACATTATATTTACAGGTTGTCATACATCATATTTACATGGTGTCATACATCATATTTACAGCGTGTCGTACATCATATTTACATGTGTGTCATGCATCATATTTACATGTGTGTCATGCATCATATTTACAGGGTGCCATACATCATATTTACAGGTTGTCATACATCATATTTACAGGGTGTCATACATCATATTTACATGTGTGTCATGCATCATATTTACAGGGTGCCATATATCATATTTACAGGTTGTCATACATCATATTTACAGGGTGTCGTACATAATATTTACAGGGTGCCATACATCATATTTACGGGGTGTCATACATTCTATTTACAGGGTGCCATACATCATATTTACAGGGTGCCATACATTCAATTTACAGGGTGCCATACATCATATTTACAGGGTGTCACACATCATATTTACATGTGTGTCATGCATCATATTTACAGGGTGTCATACATAATATTTATAGGGTGTCATACATAATATTTACAGGGTGTCATACATCATATTTACAGGGTGTCGTACATCATATTTACATGGGTGTCTAGGAGAGTACATTTGTTTATTGTTAATTGTTTACTTAGAAATAAGTTTAATATACAGGGTGTCCCACGTCACATCATAATAGACCGATAACGGGTCTAAATTACGATTTTCGGGACTAATTAGAAAATTTCATTAGAATGAATCATTTTGAAAAATAACATAAGGCTTATATAAGAATTTTCTTGCGGAAAATGATGAATTGTTTATTTTATATTTATTTCAATTTTTGAAAATAATAATCAATAACATTTTTTGCAGAATTCGTTTGAATACTTGAATTTATGAAAATCTGTTCCCTGAAGAAGAGAAACATTGATTTCAACAATTAAAAAGCTAGTTGGTCTAAGATAAAGAGAGTAAATAAATAGAGTTACCCACAAAGGATGAGATTGTGAAGACGACCTAAAATATGCAGATTACAGGATTAAACTAAGCCTTGAATATTGTCTTTTAATGGCCTATGTATTGACAAGGAAATAAATTCTATACGGTCGTCTGAAGTCTCATCCTTTGTGGGTAACCATGCATAGGATTTGGAAGATGTGACCAGATCTGATCAATATATACTTCTTTAATTTGCAACCACATCGATTCTTAGAGAGAGAGAGAACATCATATTGCTGGTTAAAGATTAAGAAGTCTTTTATATATATCTGGTTATATTTTTTCTACCATCTCAAGCTACCCTCCCCAACTCAACTTCCCAAAATACTTCCTCGCCAATCATTCATATTCATCTTTCTCATTTTCTGAGACATATTTACATGGGTGCCATACATCATATTTACAGGGTGTCATACATCATATTTACAGGGTGTCATACATCATATTTACAGGGTGTCATACATCATATTTACAGGGTGTCGTACATCATATTTACAGGGTGTCGTACATCATATTTACATGGGTGTCATACATAATATTTACAGGGTGTCATACATCATATTTATAGGGTGTCATACATCATATTTGATCATATATAACTTTAAATTGGGATTTTCGTGACTAATCAGAAGTTTAAAAAGGAATGAATTTTTTAAAAAATTGAATTAGGTGTATAAAAAAATTTGCATGCAGAAAAAAATTAGCACAGAGGAACTACAATTAAAAATTGTTTAATTTATATTTATTTTAATTTTTGAAAATAATAATCAATAACATTTTTTGCAGAATTCGTTTGAATACTTGAATTTATGAATATCTGTTCCCTGAAGAAGAGAAACATTAATTTCAACAATTAAAAAAGCTAGTTGGTCTTAGTAAAGAGAGTAAATAAATACAGAGTTACCCATAAAGGATGAGATTGTGAAGACGACCTAATATGCAGATTACAGGATTAAACTAAGCCTTGAATATTGTCTTTTAATAGCCTATGTAATGACAAGGATATAGACAGTATAAATTCTATACGGTCGTCTCAAGTCTCATTCTTTGTGGGTAACCATGTATAATATTTGGAAGACAACTTTAATAAAAGGTTCGAATTATCAATTCGTCTTAGACATCTCTTTTATATAATAAAACTTTTCGCTTATATATATATATGTATATTTATATGTTAGCTGAACGGCTGAACCAAGTTGTCTGACATTTTTTGAGAAAATCCATGAGTACCCGAGGGGTAACGTAGGCTAAAAAAATCTTTTATTTTCTTTAAAAATTGTTTTTTGCTGGAATTCTTTATAAAAAAGATTGATAACTGAGCTTTGCCAGGAAACTTTATAATTAACAGTCTACATCCTAAATTTATCATTGTGAAATTCGGCTGTGAACCATTGAACACCGAGTTTTCCAATTCAATCAAAATTTGAGGCAAATTTGGGGTTCATGAGTTATGATTGGAGTTATGATCAAAAACAGATTTCTACTTTTTGTACAGTTCAACCCAAAACTTCGGAGGCACCGAAAGAATTTATGAAAATGTCAGTTTCAAACCTACTGACGATTGACCATTGAGGTAAAATAGCATAAACCTTATTGAAAAATTGTTAAGACGGTGTTTTATGAATTCTTTCGATGTCTCCGAGGTTTATTAAGAGATGCTTTTATCTTTTTAAAAATGTTGAAATCTTTATTTTCCTGGGATTAATCTCAGGCCAGGAAAAACAAGGTCCAAGAATAACTCCCAAAGAATCTAAAATTACATATTTATAATAATTAATAAATCTTAAATCTTTTATCAATACAATGAAGACGACTTTTTAATTGTTAAACAACTTTATTCGAATTACATGTTTACAAGTAATTAAAGAAATGCTTTTTTAATTGACAGCTTCTCTATGTTTCCATGTGTTTGTCTATCCCAACGAGGTTATAGTATATAGAGTGATAATGTACGCTAATCCTTTACTAATTGTACTGATTGTACTGATTGTACAAGTCATGTACTATAGAATAACAGAGCCCAAAACTTAAGACAGGGTATCGTTCTGAAATCCAGTTGTAAAACTCGGGTTTCACGAATGGGGTTAGGCAGTTGGGTGAATATCAATATTTTTGTTATGAAATATCATTTTATTCAGTTTGTTTACATCCTTAATTTTTTTCAAATCTCTAAAATCAAAATTTACACAAATGTTAAAAACCCCAAAAAGGAAACTCGGGAGTTTTGTCCAACGATACTCTTAAATTTCGGGCTCTGGAGGCAGCATTTGGTTTGGGAAGTGTTGGACTGTGAAGGTCATGCAGTACCATACATAAATGTCCAGTTGTTCAGTAATCTTGGGGGGGATTTTGAAGATTCACTTTCCAAACTTTCTTTTTATCTTTACTTCAATTAATCAAACATGTATTTTCAAAACTGTTTCAAATAGTTTTCTTCCTTACAAAATGTGAAACAGAAAACCAAAACAAAATGAAAATAATTGGGGTAACACTTCCGCCCCCTCCCTTCGGGCCCCAGCAAGGCCAAACTGTGTAACCTCAAATAATTACCTACAATAAAATACAGAATTGTTTTTTTCACATTTAGATGACCACAGTACTTGGCCAAACACATAAGTAAATGCTTGTTATCTGTGTAACCTAAAATTTAAAGTAATTACCGACCATACCATGCAAAAAATGTGCACATTAAGGTGGCCACAGCGCTTGGCCAACAAGCCTGTCCATTCAAATTTTAAACCTTGTTTATAAAAACTTTTAACTTTTCTCTCGTAAGTCGTAGTTCCTTTAAACCTCCATGGTCCTTTCTTCTAAAAATGCAATATCAGGGAGTGGGGGGAGGGGGGGGCACAGCCCTTTCTACAAGAAATTACCAATCTTTTAATAGCAAAAAAAGTAGTAAAATTTGTTCAATTGTTTATTTCATTAGCAATTTAAAATGAATAAGTTGAAAGTTATTCATTTTTAAACAGCATTTGCTTAGTATTTTTGTGCCTGATTCCAGAATTGGTTTCAAAATTTTTGAGTCTGCAAAAATGGCGAAGTCTCATTGTAAAATATATAGCTGCAAGTTTTTTCACTTTTTTTGTTCGGTGATTTTTCGCGAATTTAGATTCGTGGTTATTAAGGGAATTGAATGATATTACATTTATAATAAATTTTTCATTAGAACAATATTCAGATTTCAGAATAGCTCCTCAATAGCAAAATATATATCTTAATTAAAACGTTTGTTCCTATAAATCTGAATGTTTTTAGTAAACAGTAGTTTAACTTTGCATGGATCATGATTAGTCGCTGAGTGTGTTAGCACTAGACTAAATTATGAATTGTTCCCTATAAGGTCATATGATTAGTCTTTAAGTTAGTGAACGGTAGTTTAACTTTGCATGGGTCATATGATAAGTCGCTAAGTTAGTTAGCACTAGACTAAATTGTAAACGGTCATCTGAGGTCATATGATTAGTCTCTAAGTTATAAACAGTAGTTTAACTTTGCATGGGTCATATGATCAGTCTCTATAGTTAGTGAGTAGTAGTTTAAATTGTGAATTGTCCCCTGAGGTCAAATGATTAGTCTCTAAGTTAGTAAACAGTAGTTTAACTTTGCATTGGTCATATGATTAGTTGCTAAGTGAGTTAGCACTAGACTAAATTGTTAATGGTCCCCTGAGGTCATATGATTAGTCTCTAAGTTAGTGAACGGTAGTTTAAATTTGCATTGGTCATATTATTAGTCGGTAAGTGAGTTAGCACTAGACTAAATTGTTAATGGTCACCTGAGGTCATATGATTAGTCTCTAAGTTAGTGAACAGTAGTTTAACTTTGTATGGGTCATATGATTAGTCAGTAACTGAGTTATCACTAGACTAAATTGTAAACGGTCATCTGAGGTCATATGATTAGTCTCTAAGTTAGTAAACATCAGTTTAACTTAGTATGGGTCATATGATTAGTCGCTAAGTGAGTTAGCAATAGACTAAATTGTAAAAGGTCAAATGAGGTCGTATGATTAGTCTCTAAGTTAGTGAACAGTAGTTTAACTTTGCATGGGTCATATGATAAGCCGCTAAGTGAGTTAGCACTAGACTATAATAAAAGGTCACCTGAGGTCATATGATTAGTCTCTGATTAGTCTCTAAGTTAGTGAACAGTAGTTTAACTTTGCATGGGTCATATCATAAGTCGCTAAGTGAGTTAGCACTAGACTATAATAAAAGGTCACCTGAGGTCATATGATTAGTCTCTAAGTTAGTGACCAGTATAGTTTAACTTTGTATTGGTCATATTATTAGTCGCTAAATTTTAAGTGGTCACCTGAGGTCATATGATTAGTCTCTGAGTTAGTGAGTACAAGACTAAAATGTCGCATCAATCTTTCGAAGGTAGCTCTGTGACCCGGTGAAAGTTTCTTGAGTAGTTTTGAAATCTGTTTATCCTTTATAACATAAAGATCACGATATATATAATGGAATTATTAATAAGATTTTTCTTTTAAACCTAGTTTTGAGGCTGAAAGAAAGGGTAAATCAAAACTTTTATGCTAACCTATAAATTCAATTTAAAAAAAGGAATTATAAATCATTTAACACAGTAAAACTTAACTCTTTCTATTCATATGTCATTTTATTTTTCCTGAGATTCCATTGTTTCTATTGAAGCAAGTTCCTGAAATTGGTATTAGACTGCAGGGTGTCCCAATAAACATGGGAATTGAGAGACGACGTGAATATCGTCTTTGATTTCCAATATTTGGTAAATGGCATTAAATGCATCAAAACAAGATTTAAAGTCTAATAAATTTTCCTTAATGTGGTCTACCTTGTATCTTTAAAAATGACGGAGATATGTCAAACATTTAAACAGTTTTGTTTGTTGACTTTTAATAACTTGACTCTGGACAAATAACCTATTATCTCCGTCAATCTTGAAGGTACAACATTTGTAGACCACATTTTGGAAAGTCCGAGACTGGCAGTTTTCGGTGTTAAATGTTTTAATTGTGATGCTACAAAATTATGTTTACGAAATAATCCCGCATCGAACGAAGACGATTTAGAAGTCGTCATTTAAATCCCATGTTTATTTGGACACCCTGTATCCTAAAGATTAATTCAGACACAAAGATAATACGGTAACCTTTAAAAGATGAGACTGTAAAGACAACTTAAAACTCAAAAACTCTTCTGCTTTTCATTTAGTCTTTAAATGGCCTTTTAAATAATTTTACAGTTGCAGGGAATTATGAATTTAAGAAACTCTTTAAAGTTTTCCTACCTTAAAGTTCTTGTTTAAAAAAATGTTTGATTACTTGTGTGATGGTCCAAGGTATTAGAGGAGTTTCTAGTTCTCTCAGGAAAAGTTTGAGCAGACCGGTCAAATCATGAACATTTTTTACCTGAATATTAGACTGGTCAAATCATGAACATTTTTTACCTGAACATCAGACCGGTCAAATCATGAACATTTTTTACCTGAACATTAGACCGGTCAAATCATGAACATTTTTTACCTGAACATCAGACCGGTCAAATCATGAACATTTTTTAACTGAACATTAGACCGGTCCAATCATGAACATTTTTTACCTAAAATTAGACCGGTCAAATCATGAACATTCTTTACCTGAACATTAGACCGGTCAGATCATGAACATTCTTTACCTGAACATTAGACAGGTCAAATCATGAACATTCTTTACCGGAACATTAGACCGGTCAAATCATGAACATTTTTTACCTGAACATCAGGCCGGTCAAATCATGAACATTTTTTACCTGAACATTAGACCGGTCAAATCATGAACATTCTTTACCTGAACATTAGACCAATCAAATCATGAACATTTTTTACCTAAACATTAGACCGGTCAAATCATGAACATTTTTTACCTGAACATTAGACTGGTCAGATCATGAACATTTTTTACCTGAACATCAGACCGGTCAAATCATGAACATTTTTTACCTGAACATCAGGCCGGTCAAATCATGAACATTCTTTACCTGAACATTAGACCGGTCAGATCATGAACATTTTTTACCTGAACATTAGACCGGTCAGATCATGAACATTCTTTACTTGAACATTAGACCGGTCAGATCATGAACATTCTTTACCTGAACATTAGACCGGTCAAATCATGAACATTCTTTACCTGAACATTAGACAGGTCAAATCATGAACATTCTTTACCTGAGCATTAGACCGGTCAAATCATGAACATTCTTTACCTGAACATTAGACCGGTCAGATCATGAACATTTTTTACCTGAACATTAGACCGGTCGGATCATGAACATTCTTTACCTGAACATGCTTTACCTGAACATTAGACCGGTCAAATCATGAACATTTTTTACCTGAACATTAGACCGGTCAAATCATGAACATTCTTTACCTGAACATTAGACCGGTCAGATCATGAACATTCTTTACCTGAACATCAGACAGGTCAAATCATGAACATTCTTTACCTGAACATTAGACAGGTCAAATCATGAACATTCTTTACCTGAACATTAGACCGGCCAGATCATGAACATTTTTTACCTGAACATTAGACCTGTCAGATCATGAACATTTTTTACCTGAACATTAGACCGGTCAAATCATAAACGTTCTTTACCTGAACATTAGACCGGTCGGATCATGAACATTCTTTACCTGAACATGCTTTACCTGAACTCTAGACCGGTCAGATTATGAACATTCTTTACCTGAACAAATATTGGGCATATCCCCGGACTTGTCTAAAGTTTAGAATTATTTCCAATAAAAGAAAATATATTTTGACCATTACCTTTTCTAAAGCTGTCAATTTGTCATCCTCAACTGTAAACCTAAACAGATCTTTATTACTTGATATTTATTAATTACAGTGATAACCAGAAAACTAAAAATATAAAGACGACCTTTAGAATCAAGTTAAAACCTTAAAAAGTTCAATGAGCATGAGATAAAGCAATTGTGTGGTGTAAACAGACCCATTACACTAAATTATTGATTCATTAAATGTCTAGTAAAACTATTTGATTTGTAGCAACATCAAATACACTTGTGTAATGTCGTCTTCATATACCATAGTTTTCTGGTTATTACTGTATTCTGTTGTATACCATCTATTTTTTTTAAATAAAGAAAAAAATTTTTTAAGAAAATGACTTATTATCGTTTTTGAGTTCTTAATCTATAAAAAGGCAGAACAATATCTTTTTACCGTCAGTTCTATTGCATATTGCTCAATTATGGTCATAAAATGTGTTTAAAGTTAAAATTCAAACCTCAGGCTTTGAATATTAGCAATATTCCCTGAGAGTCTATAAATAAACTCTGTCTGAATCCAACCTGGATAATTCTCAATCAATGAACAGCATCTGTAAAAAAATATACAAGTAAATAAAAAAATAGGTCCAGGGGTTCCTGAGTTATGATCGGACAAACAAACAATTAAACAGGCAGATTAACAAACAGAGATTGCAACTTTATCTATAAGAATAGATACTAATATAATATTTACTTATGTTATCTTCATTTCTATTCAGGGTTAACCATAAAGAATGAGACTTTTTATGATAAATATGTAAAGGATAAGTTTTTAAATAATAAAAAAGGGTTACAGCTGTAATTTATCAGAAAAGATATAAACAGTTGTCTCAGAGGTTTCATCTTTTGTGGTTAACCCTTGAGGGATTTCACAAAATTCCTCAGAGTTTCTTCGGAATACTTTTTCAAGGAATTTCACCCCAAGAAAATCCTGAGAATTTCTACTGATTACTTCTCCGGAAATTCCTGAGAAATTCTTTGTAAAATTGCAAGTGGGGGGGGGGCATTTCGTCAATATAAATTCTATTAAAAACTTTTTATATTTAAAGTCAAATTGGTTTTTATTATTTTTAATTAATAAATAAGAATTAGAATATTAAAAAGAATTAGACATCAACAAAAAAACTTGGCCCTTAAACTAGAATTTGGTGACATTAAGAAATGAAAAGGTCAAAAAAAAAATTTATTTTGCCATTTAATTTTTTTGAAAAAATTCTATCATATATGATTTCAGTAAGAAAGTGTAAGACGACTTTTAATAGTTGTAAAATTTGCATACTCACTTTGTAACCACCGTAGGAACTAAATCCACGGTATCACTGTTCAAATTATTGATTCTCCCTCCAAACACAACATACTAGATATTAATAAATGTTAAGATAGGTGTTGGACCCAAAATTGTTTCCAAGTTTTTGAGAAACTATTAAATCAATTAATACAAACCGTTGAATAACAAAATGCCAAAATCAGACAAAAGATTAGACTTAAATCCTTTATTTCCAAATTTTGCACTGTGGAAATTGAGTTAAGTACATGTGGCTGTTGGCTAAAGTTTTAGCGTCTGTCTCAAAGTTAGGTAATTTCCCAAGAGGCAGCTTCCCAGCTTCCCAAGGGTAATTTCCCAAGTGGCAACTTCCCAAATATGTAAATTTTCAATCGCCAGCTTTCCAAGTCCAATCTCAGACGCAGCGTTTGGCCTTCTAGCCCGTTTTTTCCGCAGCGTTCGGCCCCTTATCCCATCCTAGCTGCAGCGCTCGGCCCACTTGCAGCCTGCGGCGCCTCAGCAGGCCTAACATAACCTTTGGGAAGTCGTCGATTGGGAAATTGCACATTTGGGAAATTGTCACTTTGGACTGGGGCTTTAAAAAAATAGGAATGGGTTGTCGCTTTTGGGAAAATGCCTGTAGGGATATACCTAACATCTTAAATTTGACCAACGAGGATTGTCTAACGGACCCTTTAAAATCTTTGTCTGCTAAAGAATACATGAGATATCAATCTTCTTCTCTTTAAAACTCAATAAGTATCAATTGTGTGCTCAGAAAAAACAAAAATTTTTCAAGGTTTAGTAAAACGAAAATATTTTACACATTAACAACCAGATATTTTACACATTAACGACCAGATATTTTACACATTAACGACCAGGTATTTTACACATTAACGACCAGATATTTTACACATTAACGACCAGATATTTTACACATTAACGACCAGATTAAGATTAAAGGGTATGCAGTGAATCTTTAAAGGTCTCTTGAAATCATACCGACAATCTCTTTAATTATTGCAGAAAAAAGAGATAACCTTTATTATTCCTCTGTTCTTGAGATCTGTATGCTTCTCTCGAAATAGATTAAATATGTTCAGTCTATCCAGAAATACAGATTTAGCAGAAGTCACGTCAAAATTCTACAAATATCCATTTCTTAACTTTTACTATTGAAACCTTAATCTGATCAAAAATTTTGGAAAAAAAACTTTAATTTAATAATTTATCTATTATTTCTGAAGCAAGAAATGCGCAAGTCACTTTTGCAGACCGAGAAACATTACCAGAGCTGAAAACTTTTGTATTTGATACCCTTAATCTTTTGATATTATACTTCTTAATCCTCTCTTTTGGATATCACTCCTGGATTCCGACCATTGAAGGTTTTCGCATTAATCGCGCACAAAATTTCAAAATTTCTCGGCTTCTGATTGGCTGTCCGGTTTCTACAATCGACATTCTGATTGGTTACAAATTAAATACTTTCATAGATGTTAATTTAAAATTAAATTGATATAAAGATAACTAAAAAAAGAGATTAAGCATTGATCTCGATATCCACAATTCTAAATTTTTCAGCTCTTTTATCATTTAATTGTTTAATATAAAGATCGTCTGCAGTTTTTGTCCATTAGAAAAAAATTAGCTTTGGTTTCAACACTTTATGGATCTTAGAAAAGCTCATCTCATGGCAAAAGATAGATGTTTAAACAAGTTTTGGTAAGAAATTTTGTCCTTAAAAGTGAATTTGCACATTTTCAGTTTTTCTTAATTGTACACCCAGGTTTGGACGATTTTGGAAGTATTTTTTCTTCATTTTGAACGCTGGGTGACGAGCTTTTAAATTTGCGTGATTTTGCTTCTTGCTAATTTTATTGCAAAATAATTGAATTGTGCAATCACCATATACTATAATTGACAATATACTGTTTGGAAAAAAATATATTTTGTTTTTTTACTGTAAAACTTTGGTTTCTCTTCATGTTTAAAGGCTTGTTCTCCGGGCATTCTTTGTCCGTCAAACTAAATAGAAAAATCAACATTTTTTAAAGTATGATCATGTGGAAAAAATGGAAAAAAAATATTTTGTTAATTTTTTGATTATTTTAGCATATAACACCCCCAGGTAACCCATGAGTGTCCACAAAAATTTCAGCCCAATCTGTACAGTACGCAACATATATATGAATGTCTTGTTCTATTATATTGATGATCATGTATAATGCATAATGATCATATATTATGCATAATGATCATATATTATGCAACATGATCATGTATAGTGATCGCGTTTTTGGTCAAAATACAATAACAACCAGAATAATGCAAAATAAAAATAGACTATACATTATAATCTTTCAATCAGAAACCTCGTTTAAATGGAGTGACCGGCCCGGCAATGTTTTTTTTTATTTATTAAATAACGACGACGAAAAATAAAATAAAAATTATTAATGAAATTAGTAAGTAAAATTACAGTGATAACCAGAAAACTGTAGAGTACGAAGACGATAATAAAGCAATAATAAAGTGTATTTGATGTTGTTATAAAGCAAATACTTCTACTGGTATGTTGTTAAATCACTTATTTAGCGATATGGGTCTGAATATACTGCACAACTGATGTCTCTGATGTTCATTGGACTGTTTAAAGTCGTCTTTTAATTTCGGAGTTTTCTGGTTCTCACAATAGTAAACTTATTAGATGTTTAGGAACATAATTCTCAAAAGAAATTTGTCAATAAATCAATGTTAAAATCAATTATTTCGTTTTCATCATTATATAAAATTTCTTATTTTCTTTGAATTTTTTCGCAGATTTATACAAGTTCTTCAAATGTCGTCTTTTCAATAAAAATTCCAGACAATCTGCAGAAAATCTTTGTGAATAATGAGAGATTATAGAAACTAATAATTGAATAAGATTACTTATTTTTGATGATGAGAGTTAATTTTCATTTTCTCAATCTGTTCCTAAACAACTAATTAGTTTACTGTAAAATTTTTGTTACATTTTTTTGACGACCTTAACTAATAATTTAAAAAAAACTTCTGAAAACATACCCACTCAAATTCATGATTTTAAAAGTCGACTTTGCGCCCAATCCCAAAGTCAGTAAATATACGTCGTAGAAACGTTTTCTATGAGTCAAATGAACCCTAAAAAAATTTTCCACAATACTACATATTAAGTTCAACCCTACCATATATTGCCGGTCACTCCCTTTAAGTTTTTTTAATTTTGCCAAGTGCCAACTCTGTTATGGTTTTGGAATTGAATTCTCGGAAGAAAGAATAATTTTAACTTAGTCATATTTTAGAGTTATATCTAAGTATGGGTAAACCATACTAAAGTCTACATTCAGCTATTTAGATAGATAAGTTCAATCTAAAAAGTCAGGAACAGTCTATTTAAATCTAAAGAACTGATGAGAGTGCTACATATGTGGAAGCTAGGAAGATGAGGCCCGAGAGAATGAGATCACTCCCACTTAAGCTATCTGCTTGAAAAAACCTAAATCTATCGTGCGTCCTTAATTTTATTATCTTTGCAATTGAAAACTATTTCATTTCAGAGTAAATTAAAATGAGGATTCATCGAGTCTTGAGCACTTCATGAATTCAGATATAACAGATGCAAAATTCTAAAGAGGCGTCATTCATAAAAAGTTTGGATAACAACAACTTTAATTCAGTTATTCTTCTCAAATAAAGGTAAAGCATTTATTTGACATTAAAAATTTTTAGAATTATCAGAATCAGGGACAGTCATTAGAAGGAAAAGAAAAAGGAAGGGGAGAAACGATGACAAGTCGGCGAAGAATCAAATCAGAACTTTTCTGTATCAACTATGTCTAATTTATAAGGATAAAAATTCAAAAATAATAAATTGTAAAAAAAAAAAATTTACAATTTGAATTTCGTAAAAAAACTTTTTTTTTGCAGTTTTTGCAGGATAGAAATTTCATCAGATCAAAAAGTTTTATTTTTCCAAAAAAAGAAAAACAACTATCGAAATGAATTAATCAGCTTTCATGTATTAAAAAGGGAAAAATTATTTTATTTTATGAAAAAGTAATAAAAAGGTTGTTTTGATTATTGTATAATTTTTAGTTAATTTTTTTTAATAAATAAAAACAATACTTTTCATCTACCTTCGATTCCTTGATAATTTTGGCATTTTAAAATCTAAGAAAAATACATTTAATAGTATTATGAAACCACTGTGTAGTGGATACATACAATGTTTCTTAAAAACTAATTTTCTAATAAAAATGTACATGTGCAATGTGCATCTAGTGTTATTCATCATGTTTAACAAATAAAATAAATTTAAATCAATTATTATCAGAATTAAACACTTTTAAACCTAGAAAAAATCTAGAAAGTTCTAGATAGTTCTCTAATAAACACTTAAAATTTGACATTTGTATTTTGTTCATAAAAAATGAATTAGATGATAAGTAATAATCATCTTTAATATTTATTCAAATTAACACGCTGAGAATACAAAAAAATAATGTGCCAATAAATTTATTTCATTTCAACAAATTGAAATAAATAAATTAAAGTTTGCTGAAGAATAATATCGTGAACTCTGAAGCCACTATCAATACATGCACATTTGATAAGCCAGAAATAAGAATTATGCAAAATAAAATTGGATTGGTAACGTAATTTGATATAAATATTCATCAGTTAGTGATTTCAACGTTTTTAAATTCTATTTTCAAAATTGTTTATTTTATAATTATAATATGTAATTTGTTATTTGGATATAAACTTACGTCTGACAGTTGTCTTCCCTTTAAACAGTTTTAACTCTTATGGGCATGAGTCTCTCCAAGGAGTATGAAATAGAAGAGAGATACAACTGACTGATTATACATGCTTTGCAGACGGCACTTCATTTGTATAAGAAATATTTGTCTGATGTACATACAATAGCCAAGTATACAATAACTTATTCTAAATATTCCTTATACAAATGGAGTACCGCCTGCAAATATATAATTTATATTATTGATGCAAATTGATAAAAAATGGAGATCTATCATAAACATTAATAAACAAGTACAGATACATCCCCAACGTTGACACAAATTTTTTAAAAACTTACTGAGAACAGATCGGAACAGTAGGTGCCAAAGCTAAAGGGAGAGGGGGGTCGCTCAATCATTAATCCCTACAGTGTTATTCTTATTTCTTTCCCATTCTAGATTGGTATATTTATCTGTTATGGTTTTGGAATTGAATTCTCGGAAGAAAGAATAATTTTAACTTAGTCATATTTTAGAGTTATATCTAAGTATGGGTAAACCATACTAAAGTCTATATTCAGCTATTTAGATAGATAAGTTCAATCTAAAAAGTCAGGAACAGTCTATTTAAATCTAAAGAACTGATGAGAGTGCTACATATGTGGAAGCTAGGAAGATGAGGCCCGAGAGAATGAGATCACTCCCACTTAAGCTATCTGCTTGAAAAAACCTAAATCTATCGTGCGTCCTTAATTTTATTATCTTTGCAATTGAAAACTATTTCATTTCAGAGTAAATTAAAATGAGGATTCATCGAGTCTTGAGCACTTCATGAATTCAGATATAACAGATGCAAAATTCTAAAGAGGCGTCATTCATAAAAAGTTTGGATAACAACAACTTTAATTCAGTTATTCTTCTCAAATAAAGGTAAAGCATTTATTTGACATTAAAAATTTTTAGAATTATCAGAATCAGGGACAGTCATTAGAAGGAAAAGAAAAAGGAAGGGGAGAAACGATGACAAGTCGGCGAAGAATCAAATCAGAACTTTTCTGTATCAACTATGTCTAATTTATAAGGATAAAAATTCAAAAATAATAAATTGTAAAAAAAAAAAATTTACAATTTGAATTTCGTAAAAAAACTTTTTTTTTGCAGTTTTTGCAGGATAGAAATTTCATCAGATCAAAAAGTTTTATTTTTCCAAAAAAAGAAAAACAACTATCGAAATGAATTAATCAGCTTTCATGTATTAAAAAGGGAAAAATTATTTTATTTTATGAAAAAGTAATAAAAAGGTTGTTTTGATTATTGTATAATTTTTAGTTAATTTTTTTTAATAAATAAAAACAATACTTTTCATCTACCTTCGATTCCTTGATAATTTTGGCATTTTAAAATCTAAGAAAAATACATTTAATAGTATTATGAAACCACTGTGTAGTGGATACATACAATGTTTCTTAAAAACTAATTTTCTAATAAAAATGTACATGTGCAATGTGCATCTAGTGTTATTCATCATGTTTAACAAATAAAATAAATTTAAATCAATTATTATCAGAATTAAACACTTTTAAACCTAGAAAAAATCTAGAAAGTTCTAGATAGTTCTCTAATAAACACTTAAAATTTGACATTTGTATTTTGTTCATAAAAAATGAATTAGATGATAAGTAATAATCATCTTTAATATTTATTCAAATTAACACGCTGAGAATACAAAAAAATAATGTGCCAATAAATTTATTTCATTTCAACAAATTGAAATAAATAAATTAAAGTTTGCTGAAGAATAATATCGTGAACTCTGAAGCCACTATCAATACATGCACATTTGATAAGCCAGAAATAAGAATTATGCAAAATAAAATTGGATTGGTAACGTAATTTGATATAAATATTCATCAGTTAGTGATTTCAACGTTTTTAAATTCTATTTTCAAAATTGTTTATTTTATAATTATAATATGTAATTTGTTATTTGGATATAAACTTACGTCTGACAGTTGTCTTCCCTTTAAACAGTTTTAACTCTTATGGGCATGAGTCTCTCCAAGGAGTATGAAATAGAAGAGAGATACAACTGACTGATTATACATGCTTTGCAGACGGCACTTCATTTGTATAAGAAATATTTGTCTGATGTACATACAATAGCCAAGTATACAATAACTTATTCTAAATATTCCTTATACAAATGGAGTACCGCCTGCAAATATATAATTTATATTATTGATGCAAATTGATAAAAAATGGAGATCTATCATAAACATTAATAAACAAGTACAGATACATCCCCAACGTTGACACAAATTTTTTAAAAACTTACTGAGAACAGATCGGAACAGTAGGTGCCAAAGCTAAAGGGAGAGGGGGGTCGCTCAATCATTAATCCCTACAGTGTTATTCTTATTTCTTTCCCATTCTAGATTGGTATATTTGTTCAAAAGCGATCGTTTTTAAAAAACGATCCTATCAAAAACGGTCACAAATCGTTTTTAAAAAAACGATCGTTTTTTCCAAAAACGAAATGATCGTTTTTGAAAACGATAGAAAAACGAAACAAAAAACGATTAACAAACTCTACCCACAAGGAATGAGACTTCAGAAACGACTGTACAAATTTTCGATTTTAGGTATTTTGCAAACGGATCTTTCCCAAGTGGCAACTTCCCCAGGGTATTTTCCCAATTTTTCCCCATTGCAGCCTCGGCGCCGATCAGAGAGCCTAATTAACCTAACCTGTGGGAAGTTGCCGCTTGGGAAATTGTACATTTGGGACGTTGCCAATTCTGAAGTCGTTTTTGGGAAAATTTATCCATATATTGCAACTTTAAACATTTTCTTCTTTGCAAAATCATTAAATGAGCCATTTAATGGCAATATTCAGGACATCATACATTAACCTTAAAATTGTCATATTTTTATGACAATATTCAGGACATAAGACACAAATTAACCTTAAAATTGTCATACCTTCGATCATAACACCTTACTGTCATTTTTTATTTGTCATCAAGGTTTCACATATCATTGGGAGTGCATTTCGTCAATATTACGTAAGCTTCACTTGTTAGTTTAATTTTTCTGTTAATTAAAAAGTCTCAGTATTTCATTATAGTTTCATTCAGTCACTGAAACTTCATTTGTTGGTTCAGTTTCATTTATGCCATTAGCTCTTTCTCATGTCATTAGCACATTTCTCTTATCCCTATATCTTTACAACCTGATGGTTTAAACCTATAATATTTCAATTTTAGACTATTTGATCTAGCATAATTCATAGTTTGAAATATCAACGGTCTACGACATCGGGTTGCAAAGATATAGGGATTTAAAAATTAGAGTTTGTGGCGAAAACTCGGTTCCGTTATCTAGTTTTTAGTTTTTTTGGTCGTGTTTTTTATCTTTAGCTCTTTAGGTAATTTACTTATTCATAACAAGCTTGGGAACCCACTCAACTTAGAATCTCAGGCTGAGAACATTCCCATTGATTCTCCCGAGTTCCCCAATCAAATTTTGAGGCAAATCGGTCGAGTTATGAAATGACATACAAACAAACGAACAGAGATTACTACTTTGTACAGGAAAGCTACTACTTTATCACTCCTGTATGCCGAGTTCATTTTCGCCTGATCCAATCAGGGTTCAGTCATGTGTTCTATCTATCTCATTATCTCATTATCTAATTAAAATATGAATCCTTCAATCGGCGCTATCAGTATATGGAAATATTTACTTCTACTGAAACTATGGTGCTGTATTTCTGTTCAAGACTGTTCCACTCTTATTCCTATATACCATTTTATTAAAGTTAAAATAAATAGAAATTACAACTTTTTGGCAGGAAAGCGATTTTCAATACATTATACAGTAATAACCAGAAAACTCTGGAATAGAAAGAAGACTTTTAAACTCAAATTATGACTTTAGTTAGTCTGATAAGCACGGGAAACAGAAGTGGTCCGTTTAAATTCACTTGATTTGCGATTTAATAAGTGTCTAGTAGAACTATTTGCTTTCTAACAACATTAAAAACACAAAAGTATTGCTACAAAGTCGTCTTCTTAATTAGGAGTTTCTGGTTATGACTGTTGGAATAACAATTTTTAAGCAGCTCAAAGGAGTTATGCGCGCATGCCACGTTGAATTACAAGACTGAGAGAGAGAACCTGTTCCAGCCGCGTCGCTCGGCCAACTAACTTGTCCTTGCCGCAACGGTCGGCCCAGAATGTGCCTTAACCTGACCTAACCCTAAAATATATAATCTCTATCTTTCTTGTAATTAAACGCGGCAAGCGCGCGTAACTCCTTTAGACAACTGCTTTTTACTAGACGGGATGTTTATATTTTTGGAGGGAAAATGTTCAGCCTTTCGAAAGTACAAAGAAGTGTTCAAGAAAATAAGCTTAAATTCTTGAATAAAGAATTGAAAATACTGTTTGGTTGTGATGAGATTAATTTTTATAAATACAATAAATATTTGAACATCGAACGAATATGTTTTTGTGAACGACAATAATATCAATTTTACTCTGCACATACACGTGGAAAACTAACGCAAATATTTTGGCACATTTATCAGCTATAATTCAAGGAAATTCTCTGGTATGAATTTGAAAAAATTAATATAAAAGACTAGAAAATTTTTTCTAAACCGTCGTTGCTCCATCTCTAGAAATATCATAGAATGAGAAAATATCACTGGGTGTCCGGATTTTTTTTACGCTTTTTATCCCTTCTTTTGGCTGCTCATCAGGTTTTAATCCTTCTCTTGACTCCTTGTCAGGTTTTAATCCTCCGTCTGAAGGTTCTTCGTCGTTATCGTCACTGGATTCTTTACTTTTATGAATGTCAACAACAGCTTCGATTCCTGGAAAGTTAAACATTTTGAGACTTAGAGGATGTTAAGTCTTTGCCACAAACTCATGCAACCTGGTGGTGAAAACCTTTGATATATTGAAGTTAGATTATTTAAACAAAAGAATGCAGAGTTTGAAGCAATTAGTCTAAATTCCTTTGTTAGCACGTATTTGTTTCATATTTTCTATTTTTATTCAATTTCAACTACAAAGCATAAAACTCAAAAAAAAACTATAGATTGCCAAAGATACTAAAAAACGAACGTTTAAGAAATTTTAGTACAAAAAGAAATAAGTCGGATAAATCACGAAAATTTTTCAGGACAAATGCTTTCAATATTAATAAAGAACGAAAAAGGTGAATATTCTATTAAAATTATATTAATGAAGGACGGGGTGTACCTGAATGAATCGTATGTTCCTGCTGACTACTGGATTCAAGGCTAGCGTTCAGCTCACTAGTAAATATAAATCTTTATCGGAACCTTACAAAATCTGGATCTCAGTTTTTGCCACAAACTCAATTAATCTAATTCATTCAACTTTGCAAACTGATGATTTAACAGGAATGACATTGGATTTCAAAGATATAGGGATTAGAAAATCTGAGTTTGCGGCAAAAACTCAATTCCTTTCCTGGATACTATTGTTCACTAATTTTTTTGCATTTTTTTCTAAACTTTATGTTTAGAGTAAAAATTTACAGTTTTTTGTTGTTGATAAATGTTAAAAGAAAAAATCTATTTAAAAAATCTGTTTCAGAATAAGTTAAAAATCAACGAATGATGTAGCCGCGTGCAGTGTTTTTCTTGTAAATACAGATAAAACAGACTTTCCTATAACCAAATCTAATAATTTGACCAAGGACGGTAAACTACCGTCCTTAGTTCAAATCTTGAATTACTGATTCAAAGTTAAAGATTCAGTGATTTAAGGATTTGAATCGCGCGGTGGTAGGAAGTTCAGCGACCTCTCCAATTAATTAAATTCGGTCCCAGGGTGGTTACCTCTTCACATCCCTTGAAGACGACCTACAGTTCTGTTCTATCCTGACGGATAAGCTAGATGCACGCTGGTCAGATTGTTGACGGTTGAAGGATCCCTTGTTAGGGGATACGGTTTCTCTATTAGGTGATAAGGACCCATTTCGATTTTCCCCTGAAGATCTTGATGTTGAAAGGATTTGAATGTGCTGAGATATTCTGAAGAATTTTTTTTTTATATTCTACTATCACTTTCATTAACTATAGTTATTACTATACTATACGATTATCATTGTTATTATCACTATCATTATTATTATCATTATCATTATGATCATTATTATTATTACTATCATTATGGTCATTATAACAACCATTTTCAATACTATCATTATCATTATCATTATCATATCATTATGATCATCATTATTATTACTATCATTATGATCATTATCACAACCATTATCATTACTATCGTTATCATTATCATTATCATTATCATTATCATTATCATTATCATTATCATTATCATTTTCATTTTCATTATCATTATCATTATCATAATTATCATTTTCATCATTATTTTCATTATCATTAGCATTATTATCATTACTATCATTATCGTTATCATTATCATTATCATTATCATTATTAAAATGATTATTTTCATAATCATTTTCATTTTCATTTTTATTTTTGTTTTCATTATCATTATCATTATAATTATCATTATTATCATCATTATCATTATCATTATTATTATCATCATCATTATAATTATCATTATCATTACCATTATTTTAACAATCATTACCCTTATTATCATCATCATTATCATTATCATAATCATTACCATTATCATTATCATTATCATTACCCTTATTATCATCATCATTATCATTATCATAATCATTACCATTATCATTATCATTATCATTAAAATTATCATCATTATAATTATCCTTATTATTATTATTTCTACCTTGATGATTGTGATGAAACATCTGAAACCTCAGGACTGGCAATAGGGGCAACCTTCCCTCTAAACATTTTAATTTTCAGATTTTCTGTTTATTTAAAATATTATTCAATTGAATTATTTGATATTTGTTTACCTCAGGGTTTCTAGGTGTTGTTGACAAACCACCAGGTTTCTGTGAGTTTCAAGATTATTTTCACTAAAATATAAAAATAAAAAAGTTTTTAGTTAAAGGGATTGTCATTGATATTCATCCAGAGGTCTACACTTTTGAATGAGATAGTGCTGATCTATTTAACTCCTAAACTTGATATCCACATGGAACCTTTTTCAAGTGCGTAATCTGTGAAAAACAGCTAACTTATATTTTTACGACGTGTGGATTCAGTGTGGCCTCTGAATGCAGTTGGACTTTATTTAAAAAGGAATAACTTTAAATATGAACAGAGCTCGGGACTCAAGGTGGACTAGGGTCAATTTGAATTTGAACCGGACCGACCGCACCACTTGTACCAGCCTTAGTGATGCGCGGCAAGTACCGCCCCGACCAAATCCTATGCCAGTCCGGTTGTAACGTTGATGGCACGGCCAGACATGTTGCAGTGACCGGCCTATCACGGCTTATTTTACCTACACTATTAGCTTAGTTTAATGTGTCGAAATTTAAACCATACCTGACGGATTTACAAAGGACTTCTGTTAGCTCAAAACTTGTTTCTAAATATCTTTCACTAACCAACTGAAATGTAAATTTAAAAATTCTTAAATTTTTTTTTCATAATGAAACTGTTCTTGTTTTAGTTTTGTGGGTTTTGACATCCTAAATTTTTAATTTTTGTTGTCTAGGTCTTTGATAATTCAAACTTTAATGGAATTTATGTAGTTTAGAATATCAAAGGTTTACACCATCTCTAGCAAATATATCGAGATTAAACAATTAAATTTTGATCCTCACCTTATTATCACAGATTGGAACTACATCTAGACTGGACCCCAGGGTTGGATTGGAAGAGCTGGGTTGTTTGTTTTTACAGGAAACCGGTTCTACGTTAACCGTAAACAGTGAAGAGTGCTGGATTTTAGCGTACTGCTTTCGTACCTGCCACAATAGTTAATGTATACATTATATAAAGAGCGTTCTATATCATACTCTATTATATCCAAGCTTTAACGCCAAAATACGCACATAATAATAATACTTGGAAAACCTGGTATTTTCTGCAAGAAATTTTCATTTTTTAAAAATTATTCATTCTTTTTAGATTGTTCAGCTTGGCCTATTAAATCTCAATTTTAAAGCTGTGAAATAGGAAGATGACAGCTATGATTTGACTCAAGTTAAGAATTAAAAGACGAAAAAACATGAAACGCAGTAATTGTATTGTTGTTTTTTTTAGACCGATTTGATTTGACAGGTTGTTTTTAGGCAACTGATAATTTTTTACTTCAAACAACTTTGAAAACTTATAAAATTGCTCAAATATTGTTTTTCTAGTCTTCAGTCTTATGGGTATCACTTTACCTATAATATTGTACAATAAAAAGCTATAGATTGCCGAAGATGATAGAAAAAGAACGTTTAAGAAATTTTAGCACAAAAAGAAATAAGTCGGATAAATCACGAACATTTTTCAGGACAATTGCTTTCAGTGGGACCCATTCAGCTGTTGAGAAGTCAAACTAATGTAAAACATTATATTTTATATTAACTAATATTAGCTAAATTAACTATAAATAATTACCTATATTAACTAAACAAACTGTTGAAATGTATCTCTTTATACGAAAAAAAATTTAAATTTTCTTATTAAAAATACATATTTCAACAGTTAAATATCTATTATGGTGCAGACAGATATGTTTAACCAAAGATATTGCATTACGCTGGATGGGACAGCAAATATATAGTTTACGGCTGTATTGGGGAGGAATGTTTAGAAACTTAGACTTAGATAAAACAAATTAACAAACCTGTTCTGATGAATTTTGCGTAAAAGAATCCTCCATTTGCATTGAGGAAGTTGGGAATAGATTAGATTCCCCCTGCTCTTTAGATTTCAATATTGGATCATTGTTGATTGGGTTTAATTGTTTCTTTGAAGGAATTAACTGTATTGATTGTGCCTTGTGTAGTTGTTTACAAATATCTTCCGGACGAGCCGGCTCTGTTTCAGCAGGCTGGGTGGGCTCAAGTTGACCCATGCCGACTTTGTGTACGAGATTAGGTAAACCCGTCCTGGACTTGTGTGCAGAGATGGATTGACCCTTTTCTGCCTGGAGTACAGGGTTATGTAGACCCAACCCGGATTTATTTACAAGGTCAGGCGGACCCGTCTCAGACTTATTGACAGGGTCAGACAGACCTGTACTGGCCTGGCGTGTTGGTCCAACTATAGCTCTTGATGTGTACACATTGTGCCAAGCATGACTACAACAAGCCTAAATACTTAGGAATATAAACCTGTACTGGCATGGCTATCATCTTATAAATTCTTGTACTGACACAGCTATCTTACAAGTGCTTTGACCCCAAGGAATTTTTCCTAAGCACACTTCCCAATGGTAACCAATTCCAAATGGCATTTCTTCTAGTAATTATTCCCAAATGAATTATTCCTTAATTTTATTTTCCCAAACATAAAAGACATGCTTCCTGTTTATAGTGTAGTTTGATTCCATTGCTTTTAAGTACATTTACTATAAAACTTTTGAAAGGCCAGTGGCCACAGCGGGCAAAGTATGTTGGAAATTCTGAAACTTTGGGAAGTTGCTTTTGGTAACATTTTTTAGGCTTAAAATCCTTTTATTATCTTAAACACGTGGAAAACCATGTTAATTTTTCTTCACCATAAATGAGTATAGATTATAATTACAAGTAACTAGAGTAGTACTCTGTTTTGTACGATGATATTCCTTATTAATTACAATTAGTGATGTGCATCGTTTATAAAAACAATGTTAAAGCGATCAAACTATATCAAAAATAATAAATTTTTAATATGACTACTTTCCAGGGATTTTACTTTACAAATAGTTTCTTAGACCAATTTTGCTTACAAAACATCCAGGGCGCACTTAATTGGATCCTTTGTAGGCAAATTGGTCGAGGGAACCCGTGGAAAAGTTAACTTTTAATTCCCCCAAATAATTGTTATAAACAATTTTGTCGCCATTTGAGATGAAAATGCGCGAAGTACGTTAAGTAATATAAACTGTTCCCCAACTGTCTAAATATATCACAGTAAAATTTAAAGAAACCTTATCCCCTTATAAGTTTTATTTGTAACAACAATTAAGAGTACTGTTTATAGTGTATTAAACAATTCTTAACATTTTTTTCGTAATAACGAATATAGAATGTTAGGGATAAACAAATTTGTGAGATATCTATAACATTTATTTTGATCAAACAGTCATGATTTCGAAATGTTTCGGTAGTTCAATATTTTGAACAAAATGTTAGGTTTTTTACAACAGTGCATAGCTACATAATATCTACAATTAATGAAGAAGACGACCTACCTTTTCCAAAGCATCAAGAACACTATCCGGCATATGATCCTGAACAAAATTTATATATTTTTCATTAGAATAAATGATAAATGAAGTAATAAAAGAATCTTGGTGACCTCCAATGATTTTGTAGATGGAAAAAAATAAATAATTTATTTTCAAGAATGATTTCAAACTAAAAGAGTATACATTGAATAATTGAAACAAAAACCATTTCAAAATTTTATAAATATTTAAAGATGAGATGGAAAAAAACTTTGATATTAAGATAAAACACTTCCTGTTTAACTTTTAAAGAAAGAAGAAAGGTTTGAAAGTAGTTTTTGGAAACTTTAAGTAATTGCAAACCTATCAAAGGTTTTAATATATTTAAATAGAATTGTGAAGACGAATCCAAGAATTTCTTTTAAATCCATATTTTTGAGATAAAAATGAGCAATTACCTGCACCATGCATTTAGAGATTAGAACTTGATCGAAATCTCGATTGTCCGCCCAAACTGCCTGGTAAATCGGCTCATTTTTCTTATACCTAGTAAAACATAAATTATAATCATGAAATATTGTTTTTTTTTTGGAATTGTGTAGTCTATTATAGGTACCTTCTATCTTTAGCCTGTTGTCTAGTTAGTCTATTATAAGATAGACTCTAGTACAATAGATGGCAGCGTAGAATTTTTAAACTCTCAGTCCAGCTGTATTCTTACGTCACAAGTGTCAACTTAGTTTGTGTGTCCGACAAAATTATTAATAATAGTGATAATTTTGGAATAAAGTGTTTACCTTACAGAAAAATAAATGCAATTTTATGTGTTCTTTATTTCTGTTTCTACACTTTTTTTATTTAATCTTGGAAAACATGTCAACTAATGTGAAAAAATTTCGTTTGCCTTGTCATATTTGACACTAGTGACGTCATGTATAATTGGTCCATTTCTCTGTTGCCACCTATTTTAATTTATAATCTATTTGNATACTTAGACCTACCAGGATTCGGTAGAGAGGATAGAGTTCGATAACTTTTGTGTGTATAAATATAAACGTATAAAGAAATATTGGAGTAAGGCATTTATTACAAGTAAATGTTTATTTTTTATTGAATAATTATAAGGAGCTATTAAAAAATGGCCCCCCCCCCATTTTTATGGCTTAATATTTGCTTTTACAACGATTGAGAGTTAGGTATAATAGTATAAAACCAATTGAAAATTGTCAAGACAACATTTTATAAATTCTTTTGATGTCTCCGAAACCTTCTATCTTTAGGATGATGTCTGACGATATGTATGATGTTTCCAGGAGGATATAAAGGTTGATGAACTGACAGGTTTATGCTGCTGTCTAGAGGGTGAACGTTGATAGCTGTGGGGCTCATGTTTATTGCCTCGTCCTGTAAATAAGCAATAAGTATACAAATTACACAATATATGACACTAAGCATAATTAATACAGATAAGACGCTTAAAAGGAATATCGATGCGTAATATTAAGTATTGAGTTCGATATACAACATAACACTTTCAATTGCATAGTTTAAAAAAATGTGTATACAATGCACTTTGGATGATGATTTTTCGGCCGCTAGAGACACCTAGCGGCAAAATAACCGTCGTCCAAAGTACATCGTATATATATAAAAAAAAATTAAAAAGGTTATAGTATGTAAACTACATATGAAAGCTTCGAATTTAATTCTGAATCTTAATAATTAGTTTCAAATTTAATTGACTTATTTATAGTTTAGGTGGAATAATCCAATTCCATGAATTTACATGGGTTCTACTTTCTTGGGTATATCTCCCTATAAATAATCAACAGTTAGAAGTAAATTTTTTTGTGATCCCCTATTCAATTTAAAATCAGCCCATACCCCCTTTCATTTCTCGCAAACACTCCCTTTAAAGATCTAAAATATTAGCATTCTAACACACATTCAATTTTAAATTTAAATTTTGAAGTTGAAGCAATCGTTTTGCAATCCCCTCCCTTTTCTTATACCTAGTAAAACATAAATTATAATCATGAAATATTGTTTTTTTTTGGAATTGTGTAGTCT